AGGTGATGCTTGAACTCAAAAGAATCCAAATCAAACAGCTCAAACAAAATCACGTATATTCCAAGGAACCATTGCGAGCTTGCAAAGGCTTGCAGGCCTTGGAATCCAGATGAATCGAGGACAAAGACGAAGCATTCATCGCTATTACTACTTTGATTGCCCCAGCCTTTCGAACTCAAACCGGTTTGAGAAAACATAATAAAAATGTAGCTTTTGGTAAATTCTTGGTCACCCAAAATGGAATCTCTGAGTTGCCCACAGCCACACATTTGTGTGGCACGGAGTGGAGTCTGGCCTCCCAATGTTTATCTATCTATCATGTTCTACTGCTACAATTAAATGAGTCCCACCATTAAGCTTGGTGGCATTTTGTACATCATGCCACAAATTATTGCCCACTCCGAGTATTCAATTTATTGCAATGCCGGAACTTGCACTGCCCTTTGGTTCAAAAGGGCCAAAGACACGCAAGAAAAATGAATTCAAACAGCAGCATGCTCTGTGCTCCAACGTTGGTACGCACGTCATATCCCGCTGGACATTTCAGTAGTGTGCAAGAGTCTGTCAGACATCTCGCTGGTGTCTAACAAGTTCTCAACTCTTCAGAAGCAAGAATGGTCTAGAAAAGGAAGCACATGTATCTAGAGGTGTCCAAAACATCGCTGTGCAGGACACCTCTGTATGTATTGGACACATCACAGCCCATATGTAGTTGGAAACTCTTGTTGAACACTTTTTGATACTTTTTGTCTAGCATAGAGGTTTTGAGTTCGCAACAGCGCTCAAAGCATCTCAAACAAAAAAGCAGGGTAGCGTCAATATCTCATCTGTGTGTCCGTGCTGTAGCTAGTTGGTGACATGAGGGGTGGAAAAAGGACGGGTGCATCTTTGCTTTCTGTGATTGCTACACTCCAGACTTTGGCAAACATGGGATGCAACACTCTGAGAAGGCTCTCAACATGCGCAGAAAATGCAATGCTCTTAGCATGCATGTTCAACGAATGGGTCTTAGCCGAAGTACGAGTACACTTTATCCGTGAAATGGATAGTTGTGCTTCCACAATTTCCATGTTGTTCACCAATCTCATAATTCCAATATAATTCCGCCGTCAGACTTCTTAATTAGATAATTTTTGCAGTCTCTTTTTTGCAACAGCTGAACATGTGCGCTGGCAGGAGCATGTTTTCCGCAATCAAAGGCTTTTGTGCCAACATCCGTGACCTGTGCAAGCAAGCAAAAAGACTCAAAAAGATTATATATATCCCCGAGGCAGATAGGGCTTCTTTGCGTAGCTTGTTCGAACTTGCCTGACAATGTGACTCTATGCAAATGAACATGTGTGTGTGTGTGTCTGTGTGCCTTGTGTGTCGGTGTCTGCATGCGCATGTGCGCGTGTCAAAATCTGACATCCAACGGAAGGTGAATGATCGGTCTTTTCTTTTTCGTTGCTGGAGACTTTGATTATTTTGACAGTGATCGGTGCGCAATAGAACCCGCAGAAAGTCCATTGGCTCACTGCAGTTCTAAACCATCGACTTCACTTGAGTCACAGTCACAGAATTCAATGAGCGTATGCCCTGACACGCACAGGTGAGGACGACCCTACCGCTTCAATCATTTTGCTGCTCTCGACAAGTCGGCTATGCTACGCTCCTCTAACGTCAACATCTTTGGGGAAGAAGCGAAGAATGTAGAAAGAAGAACGCGTAAAAAAAATGCGTAGAAGTGAGTGTCCAGAGATGTTGCTGGGAAGCAACGGGAAACAACGGAAAGCATCGGTTGTTGATGTCCCTCCCATGCCCTGCCTTGCCATGTGACCCGCGCTCTCCAGCCTGCATCAACGCTGTTTCCAACTGAGTTGTGCCTCAATGCGAATGGGCTCACAGCAAAAAAATCAGGACATTTTACACACATTTAACACATTTTGACAAGGGAACTGAATCAAAACTTTCCAAAACAGGCTTATATAAATACCGCTACAATCCAGCACACCTACTACTGTATCCTGCTGTAATGATTTGTAATGGAAACAGTGTTCCAGTCTATTTACAGTACCATGTTTTTCAATTTTTCAATATTTTTTCATCTTATCAGAACAACCTTGGCTGATTGGTCTGCACAAAAAGTGTCAAACATTGATAAACATTGCACATGTGGGAAGACAGCAAGACATGGGCTCAATTTCTTCCAGACGACAGCTGAACTTTGTGATTTCATGCCACATGCACGCACATGTGCACAAAATTTGTCGCTGCACTCTTTTAAAGCACGGAAAAACGTCGGCATGCTGTGCACCCTTCCGACTGGCTTAGTTCAGGAACGTTCGCATACTTCACAAAAAACCATGCAAATCGACAGTTTTTCCAAGCGTACGATGTCAACAACGCGTGGTCCACGTGGTTGTTGGACCTCTAATAAGCGGAAATTTCTCAGTACGGTAGATGATATTAGATGATAGTAGATGCATGTCAGATCGTTTTTCAATCCATCAGACCGAAGCAAGTAATGATAACCGTTGCTTGAGAAAACAGGAAAAACGACCCAAGTCAAGGCAAAACCCTCATGTTTTCAAGTGTGTCCATTGCCCCATACTGCCATGATACCAGGGTTTTTCTCAAAATATGAGAGCCCACTGCAAAAGCATCAGCAAACAAGCAACCGAACAACAAAACAATTCAGGCAAACAAATGCATTGCAGTATGTAGAATATAGCAAAACCAACATAAAGCAAAATAATCTTGGATACAGTAAAAGAACAAAAGACTGAAAACACTCACTAATCATGCACAACGAACCCAGCCCACCCTCCAGAAGATTTTTCAAAGAATCGCTGCTGTTGATCTGATTCAAACTCACCCAACATTTAAGTTGGGTGACTTGGCCTCACCCAATCAAGTTGGGTGTCCGGCCCTCATGGTTCCACCCACCTAGTGGGTGTCTTTCCTCAACAGAAGATTGGCCTTAGGCCTGTCTTTCTGCCAAGGTGTGGGTGGGTGGGTAACAAAAGCGGCGGGTGCCCTCTCTCACTTGAGCCAAAATGGCCGGAGAGAGGGTACCATATTACCCACCCACCAACCCAAGTGCATTAGACGTGTTACTATTCACATTGCATGTTCATTCCAACACAAATCATGCACAACGAACCCAGCCCACCCTCCAGACGATTTTTCAAAGAATCGCTGCTGTTGATCTGAGTCAAACTCACCCAACATTTAAGTTGGGTGACTTGGCCTCACCCAATCAAGTTGGGTGTCCGGCCCTCATGGTTCCACCCACCTAGTGGGTGTCTTTCCTCAACAGAAGATTGGCCTTAGGCCTGTCTTTCTGCAATTAATCTTCTGTGGACGATGAGGAGGATGTGCTGGAGGTGTCACCGTCAGTTGCACTTGGGTAGCATCGAGGGCATGACTTGTGGCCAGTGGCCGGCATTCATAAATGGTTTTCTGCTGGTGTGCGCATGTGGCTTACCGGCATATTGCCACCCACAGAGCGTTTTCCACTCTGCCGGTGGTACATTAAGATTGACTAACGACCTATGGTGCACATCAGAGAGGATGTTGTGCACGTCCCAAATTTCTGGCCTCTCAGTTTCAACGTCAATGACAGACGCAATGCCTTCGAATTTCTGCTCTGCATCTTCCAGTTGATGAGTGAGCCTTGTAATCAGGCCCTTCAGCCGTTGAGTTTCCTTTGCCACGGCGTTGTGTTCCTTGATGAGTTGATTGATTTCCACTCTGTGGTTCAAGTCTGACCCAAGCTCGGGTTCGACCAGAGGAAGTGACGCGCGCACCTGTGTCCAGCTTTCTCCAGCTGTGAGACGTTCGTGAAATCCTTCCAGTGGTGCTTCAGAGATGTACGTGAGGACTGCCGCACTTCCCCACCTACCTATAAGTTGAACAGTAACTGGGTCAAGGCCCCAACGACACAGTGTTCTTGCACCAGTGATTCTGAACGTGTGTCCCGAGACTCTCCAACTTCCAGCCGCATCCTTTGAAGATCCCCCAGCGAGGTCAATGGCCTTGCGAATGGTGTCTACCACGCTCTGTTTTGAACAGACACGCCCCTCGGCAGTGGGAAATAATGCAGACTCAGTGTTATTCACATTGTTCCCGATGAACCTGATGTGCTCCATGAGTGCGTGTACCACACACGGCAGCTTACGATCGCAGAGGCAATGCCAGGTCCTAGTACAACCCTTTGCCTGCCAATCGACCTTTGAGACCGGTAGCCTGATAGATACAGCATTCTCCGTGAAGGTGATGTCCGAGATTTCAAGTCTCGCAACATGAACATCGTTGCCGTCACTATCATGGCGAGTGGATTGACAGGGCCCTGTCTTACCAGGGGGTCAGTGGTGTCTCCAAGTACCTCAGAGACCGCCAGAAGGTCGAAGGGTTCAGATCTTTGTGAACCACCCAGCCCCCGCAGGACGGACCTGGCGCACTTCTTCGAGAATATATCCAGGCGATCTCCCCAGACATATCCCGAAGTGATATGATGCTCCTTGATTCGCGACAAATAGTTCTTCACAGACTTGTAGCCCCCTTTCTTAAAGAGGGAGGAAACTTTCAGAAGCTTGTCCTCAGTAATTGGCAGCACATCAACTTCGGGGCCATACCACTGGCGGTGGAACTTCGACCATGTCCTAAGGAGTGCATCTCGAGGTGCCCGGCTTGAGCTAGCATACATATCATCCACCAGGTCCTTCAATGCGCCTCGCATCTGATCTGGACACAAATCGTCGGCATCCGCATGGCTGGGCTGAGATCTGCCAGTTCTAAGGACTGGGAAGTCTTGTCTACGTTTCTTCGGAAGGTTGCCTTCTCCTCCTCCCGTTGGGTGACGATTTCCTGAAGGACTCACAAGGGAAGACTTTGCTGACCCAGGTGCCAAGTTTTGCCCCTGGGTAGCTTGTGAACTCACCCAACCAAGGATGTCATTTGGGGGTAATGACGGTAAAAATTGCACCCTCCGATTATGTCTCCTAGTCCTCATTGAGCCAAGAGCTCAATATGTATACTTATTATTATGATCCATGTTTCGTTCAACTCACACATGAAACGTTTACACAGCGTTTTCGCACCCTCATCCCAAGAGGAGATGGTGCCACAGAACATCAGTGCAAATCAGTATACAAATCAGTGCAGTGCCAGCAAGTGCAGAACAAGGAGGTGACCTGGTGTTACCTTGCCTGAGAAAACACGTCCGACAAGCAGTGCAACAACGAAAACGAAGAGTAGTACCTGGTGTTGCCTGCCTGTATAAACCACCACCGACTGCAGAGGCATGCAAAATGCAAAACACCATTTTTCTTCCTTTCGGACAAGTAGAGCAATCACGTTAGCTGGCGACTTCACGTCTATGCTTCTCCTCACCTCTTGAGTTTCTTCGTCATGGGTAGCAAAGCGATGTCACCCTGATCTTGCTCTGTTGGCTCGGCCGGTGACTGTCTTACCCATGACAATGTCTTCCACCATTTAAGCAATCTGGCTGGAGGGACAACCGCTCTGGCTTTTGCAAGTTGCACTGGCAGCTTGAAGTCAACTCCCGGTTGGTACCTGCGTGACAGAACGTCACACACCACGTTGACTGCCCCAGGAAGGTGCTCGGCAACTGCCGGGCGGTACTGTGCCTTTCCCAGGTCTAAGGCGAACTCACGCGCCAAAAGGGTGTGTGCTGGAGAACGCCCTTTTGTTTGAGCATAAAGTGTCAATGCTCCAACGTTGTCGTTGCGAAGGCGCAACGTGAGCTTCGCTGTCTGCCAGTACTTGCGCCAGAGCCGCAGACAGATAAGGCCGCATAAGGCTTCCCAAGTTTGTTGTCCCTCATGTGTGCCAGCCTTGGTGGCCATGTGGATTTCTCGTCTTCTTTGCTGATTGGAATTGCAAAGAACTCTATGAATCTTCCAGCTATTTGCAACGTTCCACCCATGCCAAATGGTGATGCATCCCAAGTTATCACCACCTCCGGACCAGATCCGGCGAACACGTCGAGGCTGTAAACTCAATTTGTATGCCTGCCAGCTCTCCTGACAAGAAAGTTATCAGCCACTTCACCGCAGGTTCAATCTGTTTGGTCCAGACACAGCCCTGTGGTGCCTTTGTTTGCTGTGCATGCAGAGCAGTATAGAGCTCGGCAATGAAAGGCCGCCACACGTAGATGACTGAGCTATAGCCATCGCCTTTCCAATCAAAGTCCTCAGACTCTATTTGCTGACCAGATTGCGTTCCACAGCTGCAGCCAGTAGCGAGTCAAGCTCCTGGACTTTTGCTGCTGGTACTTCTGCCACCACTTGTGTTGGATCGACTTGAAGCTGAACTCCGATCCACACTAAGGAGTTGCTCAACGTTGCCTTATGGGTTGCAATGGGAAAACCCATGAGGCTCCACATTACGATGACCATGCAGGCCATTCTTTTTCTGTGCTTTTCATCGCCCTGCAAGATTGCGATGGGATCGTCCACATAGACCTGCAGGTGCATGTTGTGATCCGCTGATGCCACCCATCTCGCCGCTGCTGCAGTAGTACTTCCCCCTCAAGGTTGCTGTGAAGTACCTTCTTTACTCCTTCTTCAGCGGTATGAGCCAGAAGGCGTCGGTGGTGTCTGCAATGAGCATCGTGACCCCCTCTTGTGATCGAGCCATCGTCCTCAACAGACTTTGCACTGCATCCGTGACTCGTGGGAGGACTGCCTTGTGGGTTCTCTTTGCCGCTTTGGACACAGATGAGCGCTTGCAATCAAGTATGATGCGGCTCTTGGTGACAGCCTCACCAGTCTCCATGTTGATGTTGATCTTGGTCTTCTTGATGCATCCAAGCTTCGACAGCGTAGGGTCCCCCCACTTCTCTTGCCAGATCTTGCAGGCTGTCAAACTTGTCCAAGAAGCCCTTCTTGTGGTATCCTTCCAACGTTTCATATAGGCTTCGTCGTCGTCTTCGATCCCCATGTAGTTCTGGAAGGTATCATACTCAGTGGTCAGAGCATCCCAGGGTGCTTCTTCCTCCTCCGACATGACTTGAGGGAACACGCCGTCAAGATCACTGGTGTCGATCTCGAGGCCAGCAGGCGCACCCTGGTACGTCCACCTGGTACACTTCCGGCCTGGGTCGTCAACCACTCTGGCCCAGTATTCCAGCAGCCTGCCACGGATGCACGTTCTGTAGCCTTCTTCATCTATTTCACTGGTGTCGCATGTGCCTTCCATGTCTGGTTTCTTGTTTCTCACAAGCAATTCTGCGATCTTCTCACGCAGATTTTGCATCCAGGTGGCATTGACAACGTCGTCGTTTGATCGTCTTCCCAGTGAGTCCAGAATGCGGGTCTCCACCTCCGGATGCTTGTCAAACACCTGGAAGATCATGTTGCGCACCTGGATGCCGATGTATCGGGCTCTGTCAGTGACCCACTTGTGAACGTCTCTGAGGCTATTGCGTGCATCTGGCTGTTTATCTGGTTCTTCCTTTCCTCTGAGCGGTATGAGCTTCTTCACCTTCGTTGGCTCCAGTGACTGCTGCACTTGAGTCGACTCGTGGCTTGCTGATGCTGTCTTCCTCCTCCTGCAGAGCGCCTTAGCAATTGCTCTGTTGAGCTCCTCTGGGTAGGCAGCGCGGGCTCTGGTAATGTAGTCACCCTGCGGCTCTGCGTCTCTCAACATTGAGGGCGACCACTCTGCTTCTGGTATGGCCCACTGCTTTCCTCTAAGCGGTGGGTGAGGTGCTATAATCACTTCACCGCTCAGGTCTGTGGCTCATGATTGCAAAGACAGGTGAACTCGTCCATGCCCGGTATGTTTGACAGAAAGTCCGTCTTCCTCTCTGCCATGCACCCGAATCTGCATTGGTCAAAGGTGTAAAGGAAGACGTCCTCTTCCGCTCTGAGCTGCTGGAACTCATCTAGTTTCCACATGGACGTTTTGCCTGGCCTACCATGGGGTTGTTCCGCAATCCACCATCTTCCGGAGCTGTGAGCATAGCTTGCTGTGCTTTCTGCACGAATCGCCCGAACATTCCCTTCAGTGACCTGCTTCTTCTCGTATGGTCCCAAAATTTGAGCCCGTACCTGTCAGCACCATGGGTGCCCCTGAGCGGTTTCGGGCCCCCATTCCCTCTTCTCGCAGGTGTGGAAGTGCTGCATGGTGGGAGATCATGAAACCGTCATACTCTTCAAATTCTTCCTCGCAGTTCTCCCAGAAATTTTGGTCTAGGAGATCATGGTCATTGTTGAATTCTTTGTCCACACAGACGCACTCAGCTCCTAACTCCTGTAGAAACTTTGTCAGGCCGTCATCAGGTCTGTGTGGTCCACTGAAGAGATACAAGATGCGGATGCCCTCGGTGTCTGTATCTCCGAGGACCTCCACTGAATTCCCGGCAGCCTGCTCTTGCTCATCTGCAACTTCAGAAGCAATGGCTGCAGTCATGCAGTTCTCCTTGGATTGTCAGTAGGGAGGGCGTCTGCCCTTCCCACTGCCACGGCCGCCTTTTCCTCGGCTCTTCCCCGCTTTGGCGTTTCTGACGAAGGTGGGTGTCTGGAGCTCGGTGTGTGGGCATCTTGAACTTGGATGGTTTCCCAGGCAGCGGTCACATTGGTGAACTGTGTCCCAGTTGTGACGGCACCATACGCCTTGAGTGCTTTCTGCACATTGCCCGGTATTGAATCCCGAGCATATGTTGTACCCCGTTCTGTTGTGGGTGTACTTGCCATTCTCAATGTTGTGCACACGTCCTGTCCTGTTGGAGTTGCGAGGACGGACTGGTTGTTTGTCCGCTGCTGATGCCATCTTCGCAGGAGTCGGCACTGTTTCTCGTAGTTGGCCGCCGCCACCTTGGCATCTCCATCCACTAGTTCATTGGGGCTTGAGATGCGGGCCGGTGATTATGAGCATACACGGCTCGATCACCTCTACCCGCCAGAAAGTTTCATCTGCCGTTGCCCGTGCCCATACTTGATTCCAAGGCCTCTGTTCGTCATAATCTGACTTCCCGCCAGCATTGATCACCTTGTCATGTTTTGTGTTCAGTGCACGCTTCAAGCGCTCCATATGCTCAAGTCTGCACCTGACATCTCCCTGGTAAATCACCGACCACACACGGGGCCCATATCTCTCAGCCAGCCGTTCAATGTGTGATCGGTACTTCTGCAGGTGTCCAAGGTCCACTGCGTCGATCATGACGAGGACTGTCATCAGCACATTGTAGCTCTGCAGCCAAGCGCCCAAGTTTGTCGGGCCATACAACTCCACCGTGCGCAGGGTGCCATCCCGCTCTATGAAGTAGCCACTCAGCTTGATCCTTTCTTTTCATCATCCGATGGCCAAATGGTCCAAAGATGCTGAAGTCAGCATATGGAGGACTGCCTTGCTTGCACAGGTGCTGCAAGCCCGTCAACTGCTCTGCAGTAGGCTCGCAGTCCTTGGCAGGTCTCTCCCCTTGGCCGAAGACCGCTTCATACCTCGCGTAGCACTTCAAGACTTCTTTCTCATCTGCTACAGTCAGTTCTGTATCATCTATCTGTGAGATGATTGCACTCAGTTTGATTTTGCGCGCTGGTGATGAGGCCGCATGGCTGTGTTGGTGTGGCTGGGATTGCCTGACCCTGTGCTGCTTGTGCTCGGGCTTTCAAGTCCTGGAGTGACTCACCTGTCCCAGCCACCAACTGGCATGCTCTGAAGAACAACTTTGCCATGCCTGCCTCACCAAGGCTCGGAAGCCTATGTCCACCAGCATCTGCAACCTTCCGCCAGATCAGCGTCAGGGAAAATGCCAATGACTCGAGGGAGCGTCGTTGATGCTACTCCCAAATGCTTGAGTAATGATCCAGCTACGGTGGTCTCGTCGTCCGGTGCTGTGACATCGAAACCTGCACATGCCAAGGCAGCCTTCATATCAGTGATTGCTGCTCGCTCCTCTTCAGTTGGATCCACCGCCGCCATGGCTGACCCTTAAACCCGACGGGAGCTGGATCACCGATGGCTTCTCCGCAGGTTTTCGCCACCAACAAAGGGCCAGCACTAGACTGCACAGGCCTACCACCGCCAGTCCTAGGATGATGTCACCTGTACCCTCAGCTTCGAGAAGATCCAGACAAAAGCCAAGATCTGCTGAGGGTACCACTAGGCTCACCCCCCACCCGCCGCCTTAACGACAGGTGGGGTAAACAAAAGCGGCGGGTGCCCTCTCTCACTTGAGCCAAAATGGCCGGAGAGAGGGTACCATATTACCCACCCACCAACCCAAGTGCATTAGACGTGTTACTATTCACATTGCATGTTCATTCCAACAACATCCCATACTGTGCAAGACAATGTCACAACACAATTGATATATATCAAAACAGTGGAGAACAGCCTAATTAACAACTCGGGCTCCAAACATAACAAATAACATACCTGTACGCAAAATAATACAGCATGAAATGGCATGACAGCACATGTCACAACAAACTTCAACAAACACACAAGCATCGGGAACTCAGGGCGCAGCGCTCAGATGAGAGTGGCTGACCGTTCAAGTCAGACACCTGGAGCAGGGCAGTGATTGAAATCATGCAAGCTTCAAAGAAAACCTTGTCCAGCCTTGATACTTCCTGCATTGTTGATGATTTATATAATCATTTTATATCATTTTATATAGGTCATTCTGAGTATTCTGAGTCATTCAAATCTTTAGTATAACAGGATGGAACATGATGGAACATGATGGAACATGATGGAACCTCGAAAGCGCCAATGACAACTCCATTGTCCATGGTCTCCATCCAACCTCGCCTCAGTCCAGGGAAAATATCAAGGTGACTGGGGAGAGGCAAGCGTCTCATGATGTCTCATTTGAACAAAGAAAATCTGTTAAAACATATGTTGCTGTCAAATGTTCCCTGGGTCCACCACACGGGCTTCACGCGGTGCGTCCGGAACGTGTCTGAAACTACTAGAAGCCTTAGAGAGAGTTTGGACACTTTCAAGGTATGTGTCCGGCATGTCAGTATTCTGTATTCTGTATATAGATAACATATGATAAAATATGATAAAATCATATTTCCAGCGCAAAGCCCCGCTTTGAATATTGTAGCAAATTGTAGCTGCTTGTAGCTGCACTTTTTCTGAATACAATGCCTGGAACAGGATGTGGCGCTGGGAGTATAGCAAATGGCAGTAGTGCCAGTGATAGTGGTGGCAAGAGTGCTAGCGGTAGCAATGGCTGGTAGTGGCAGCAGCAGCGGTAGCTGTAGTGGACATGGTCATGCTAGGCCTGCTGCTGCTGCTGGTGGTGGTAGGAGTGCTGGCAGTAGTGGCAGTGAAGGGGTAGCAACAGTAGGTGATGTAGCTGTGTGTAAGCGATTTGTGTAGTGATGGGAAGCCATTATGCAATCAGAATGGGGTGAAGGAGGCTTTGGCACAGAAAAACCAGAAAACAGAATGAGGCAGGAAGTAAATGAAACACAAATGCGCACAGGGAAGGTTACCCACATTTGCAAGAGAATGTCGGCATGCATCTGCGAGAGTTGTACGATGCTGGCTTCATCAAGAAAAAATAACTCGAGGCGCCTGAAACTGCTTGGAAAATCATACTGAATCATACTGTTGAAAATTGGTGCAAGTTGTTGCGAATCAATTGAATATTATAAATTATTATTATAAATCGTAATTAATCAAGGTGTGGGTCAAGTAGCAGCTGGGGCTGGTCAGGCACATGGCTCAGCCACACAAGGGCATTGGCTCCTGTCGCATTGTGTTACAACAAGGAAGCTCTCATCCCAACACTGGCGAGGAACCAATGTAGAATTTACAATGTATACGATATGTATGTACGCAAACTTCAGCAAACAAACCACCCTCAACGACGTGCGGCCTGATCTCGTAGTGACGACGACTCCCGCATCCTCGCTTTCCTCCAAACCTCGCAGCTTGAATTGTTTTCATGTTCCGAACTGAAATCGTGTGGAACATGAGGAAAAACTGTAGATTGTAGATGCCCATGCATTCAAATTGTTGGAAAAATTGTCTACAGACCCAAACGCTGTCTGTACTCTCCGGGGAGCTCAAACTGTCCTGGGCACGCGAAATGGAGGAAATTAGTATTAGTAGAGTCAAACACAGCAACTAGGTGAAAGATGAATCCTGTGACATGTCAAGAAAAACACCAAAACAATCCAAGGAAGAAACGGTTTTGCCAGATTTATATAATACAGCGCTGCACACAGTGTAGTTTTACATAGTCAACCAGCAACCAATCTGAGTCCATGCTTTGAAAAATACATCTGAGGTTTCTACCATTGATCAGCGGACCAGGAACCTAATGCAGATTCTAATCAAAACTTTGTAACTTCCCTGCATGGAATCCTGACGTTCTGGCATTCCTGCGGCTACAACCGCATAACTGCAGCTCGTCTTCTTCTGAATAATGCCCCTTTATGCCGCCCAGAGAGGTTCACTCGGAAAAAAACATCTGAAATCAAAATTATTTCCTGCTCCAGCCTATCAACATAGAAAATTTAATCATGGTAAATTTTGGAGATGTTAGCTATAACATCCATACTACATCAAAAGTCCATAAAAGGAAACTCCTTATCTCCCAGCTTCTGAATTTCAGTCATATTTATCATAATTGATCCAACATTTCAAACTGTTTATCCTGTTCCCTAACCCCCCACCTCCTCCAAAACAATCCTATTTTGAATCCACGCCGCTAGCAAACAAAGGATTACAGTGCCAGCGTGTAAAATGACATATCCGTATTCTTGCAAGAATACTTGGGGTCTGCAAGATGTTGAGGACTTCAGTCATTCATGGAGACACCTTCATTGAAGGATGGGATGTTTTTGATACGTTTGGTAATTTGGTTTCTGATTGACCAGCCACACTTTGTCCAGTAGGGCCATGCCCAAAAGAGTATAGGAAGATCTTCAATTTTTCAACATTTTTGAACCAGATGCAGCCCACGAACTCGAATGTTCGCACGTATGTTAATGGCACAGATGTCGAAACGCATGGATGTGCAGTCACGCAGAACACTTTGCTGAAACAGTTTATTTGAACAGTCTTGTACATTTTTCACCTGTTGCCATACCAGAGCAGCGTAGACTGTGGAATATGGAAGAAGGTGGCGTGCTAAGTGTGGAAAGTGGAGTGTAGAGTCTGGAGTGTAAAGTGTGGAGTGTCAAGTGTAAAATGTAAAGTGTAAAGTGCGGAGTGTAAAGTGCAGAGTGTAAGGTGCAGAGTGTAAAGTGTAGAGTGTAAAGTGTAGAGTGTGGATTGTGGAGTGTAGAGTGTGGAGTGTGGAGTGTGGTGTGTAAAGTGTGGAGTGTGGAGTGTGGAGTGTGGAGTGTACAGTGTGGAGTTTAGAGTGTGGAGTGATGAATGTAGTGTGGAGTGGAAGTGTACAGAGTAAAGTGTAAAGTGTGGAGTCTAGAGGGTAGAGCAAAAAGAGTGTAAAGTGTGGAGTGTAAAGTGTAAGTGTAAAGTGTAGACTGTAGAGTGTAAAGTGTGGAGTGTGAAGTGTAAAGTGTGGAGTGAGGAGTGTAAAATGTAAAGTGTGGAGTGTACGGTTCAGAGTGTGGAGTGTAAAGTGTAAAGTGTAAAGTGTACAGTGTGGAGTGCAGAGTGTGGAGTATAAAAATAAAGTGTGGAGTGTGGAGCGTAGTGTGTAAAGTGTGGAGTGTGGAGCGTGTAAAGTGCAGTGTGGAGTGTAAAGTGTAGAGTGTAAGATGTAGTGTGGGGAGTGTGGAGTGTAAAGTGTGGAGCGTAGAGTGTAAAGTGAGGAGTGTAAAGTGCAGAGCGTAAGGTGCAGAGTGTAAAGTGTAGAGTGTAAAGTGTAGTGTGGAGTGTGGAGTGTAGAGTGTGGAGTGTGGAGTGTAAAGTGCAGAGTGTGGAGTGTAGAGTGCAAAGTGTAGAGTGTAAAATGTAGAGTGTGGAGTGTGGAGTGTATGAGTGTGGAATGTGGAGTGTAGAGTGTGGAGTTTAGAGTTTAGAGTGTAAAGTGTAGAGTGTAAAGTGTAAAGTGTGGAATGTAAAGTGTGGAGTGTAGTGTCGAGAGTGGAGTTTAAAGTGTAGGCTGTAAAGTGTAAAGTGTAAAGTGCAGAGTGTGGAGTGTAAAGTGCGGAGTGTGGAGTGTAAAGTGTGGAGTGTGGAGTGCAAAGTGTAGAGTGAAAAGTGTGGAGTGTAAAGTGTGGGTGTAAAGTGTATAGAGTGTGGAGTGCAGATTGTAAACTGTGGAGTGTAAAGTTTGGAGTGTCAAGTGTAAAGGGTGGGGTGTGAAGTGTGGAATGTAGAGTGTGTAGTGTCGAGCAGGCAATGCGACAGGTCGAAAATGCCGCACGTACCACACAAAATGACGACAGAGATCTCCAAAATGTTGCGCCTGCCACGACAACTGCAACTCATCTTGTGCAAACGACGCAAAAGTATTGCGCCGGCCACACAAAACGACTTTCAAATTGAAGGTGTCTCCATGAATGATGGAAGTCCTCAACATCTTTCAGACCCCAAGTAGCCCCGGAAAAGTGTGATGTGTAATTTTTCGTTTTTGAGGTGGTTACAGTCGAGCATTTTGGATAATTATGATAAATTGATAACTAAGAGTTTTAGGGACCCTGGGCTAAGAATTTTTGGTTTTTTTCGCACTGGTCCATTGGTTTGTGCTTTCAAGTCAAGGAACAACATATATATATAGAGTTATATATATAACTATGTAATGCTTAGCATGCCACATTTTTTTTCTGCCTCCTATCCCCCCTCCATCAAATTTATTTTACACATGGCCAAGATCAAAACACAAAAAACTCCTTGTTCCTCAACCTAGAGCAGGAGGTCTTAAAGTGCCTAACAGGTTACCAGGTTCCATGATGCCACAGGTATGCCTGATATCATGATATCAAAAGGTCAATGAAATTTGTCGTTTTGCAAATTGACAATGACAATTGACAAATGTTTGTCATTTGCAGTTTGTAACAGGCCTCTGAACAGGAATCGCCAAAGAAACCTGCCATAGGAATGCCACTTGTTCACAGGCGACTTTCAAACGTTGCCTATCCAAACAGTCCCGCCATTAGTATCCATTAGTACCATGCGTTTTGCTGTTGGGTATTGCAGGCAGTGGAAGAAGTAACTTGAAAACATCTGAAACAATAGCATTTGTTTTTCCATATGTTTTGTATTGTGAATGACGATAATGCTGATGTACTATGCACTGTATGTATGTGTTCGGGTCTGTATGTTTGTGTATTTTCATGTAAAGGCATGATGTGAGTATGCCAGCATGTGAACCATGAACGTAAGTGATCACTACAAACATGGTATGTGAACATATGTAAACATCCAGGCATGCAATGCTGTGAGTGTTTAAGTCCGTCTAGCCGTCCGCCGTCCGCATGTCCATCTGTATGTACAATGTACACGCATGGGCAGCTGCGTGTAAGTAAGTATGTACGCATGTACATGGTAGGTAGGTTTGTAGGTGCATGGGTATGCGATATGTAGGTGCATAAGTTGGTAGGTAGGCAAGTAGGTGAAAGGATGTGAAAGGTATGTCTGGATGTATCAGTAGAAGTGTGTGTGTGTGTGTGTGTCTAGCTCTGTTCCTAAGAGTCTTTTCATAAAAGTGCAGCGCATTCTTCCGTAATTCATCAGCAGGGGGCCCATGAGCACTTGGATGGCATGGGCCAATGAAGACCCATCCAAGATGCTGTGAAAACGTACCTGTTTGCATGCACGATTTTCATTGTTTCCATGCCAACACAAATTTGTGACAAGTGTTGTTTCTTCCCAGCTTGCCTGTCTTCCAAGGGCAAGGACGGCATGGAACAATTTTCACAATCTGAATAGCATGGTGGCTAAGCTTACAACCACCCTTGCTCATGTTCTGGTGATTTTCATCCACCATTTGAATTTTCGAGTTTTTCCTGCTGTTCCACTGGGTTAGCTTGGCCTAAGTAAGTGTAGCGCCATAAAGCCAAGTGATCCCGCCAGGCTTGATGCCCACAATCGTCAGATGTAACGAAATCGACAATAGAGCATGACCTAGTCACAAGCTGACGACTCAGTGTGTATTTCGGCCGAGTTTCTGTCATAGTCCGGTCGTGATCCTGGGATTCCAGGCTTCTGAAATGAACAATTGAAGTGACTTGAATCGGAATATTTATGACTCCATGATTTTGAGTTGAATCGGAGTCCATGTGACTCCGTGATTTGGTTTCCAGTAATATAAGTTGGCCCTTGAGACATGTTCATGTGGTTGGAACCCTGCTTTCAGACAGGCATTCTGAAGAATATTTCTTTTCTTTCTTTCAGATGAAACTTCTACTTGATGTTGGGAAGCTAAGTATCCTTCTTCCCGCATGACCATTTGATTTGCTCGAATGAAATTGATTTGCTTGAATGAAATTGAGAATCAGGCATGAATGTAGTTTTATGACAAGTATCATCAGCATCATCTGGTACTGTTCGGCATGCACTTGCACTTTCTGTTTGACATGTACCTGTACACAGTATTTTAGCTGCGCTTTCTGCCGTTGCCATGTCGAAGCAGTCTCCGCCTACCTACAACATCTATTTTGTTGCTGGTAGCTTGTCTCGATCTTCTGGCACCTTGTCTTCTTCCCCGCGCCCAGCGACTCCAGAAGTGATAGCTAGTGTGCAGGCTTCATCTTCGCATTTTCAACCAGATGTGTCAGCAACACGAAGACCCCCATTACCACCTGGACGATTTTCAAATTCGGCACCTGCTGCAGCTGCAGCACGACCGAGATTGCCAGCTGCGCCAATTTCAGTTGCGCCAGGTCCACCTCGTCCGTCCTGTGCGCCCATCATTTTGAAGGAAGCACGATCGAATGCCAGAGATAGATCGCTATCTTCTAGAGGTAGATCCAGGTCACCAGCTCATAGTGCTCATAGAGCTTCAAGTATCGCATCCAGCAGATCTGAAAGACCTGTGGAAAGACCACCCGGCACTTGGGATGCCGAAGGAATTTGGCAAACTCCATTGTATTCTGTGCATGCTGTAGATGCATTTCCATCGTCTCCACATTCTCCGACCCAGCCAGTGACACCATTTAATGTGTTTCAGTCGAACCTCGGAGGCCTGACGAATGCCATCAGGCCACTAAACCTACCTCCACCACCTCCTCCGCCACTCAGCGAGGAGTTGGTGGTGACTGAAAATCAGTCATTTCGAAAACACCAGGATGTTAACCATCCTATCCGGGACTCTATGCTCAAATATCTGGCTAGAGTTATGGATGACTCTGGTATCCCATCAGAGGCCCTTACTGATCTCAGGATTTTGAATTATGATCCGCAATATCATGAGTCCCATGCCGAGGACCTCACCGTTTAAAAGTATTACATTTTAAGAGGTCAATTTTCGGCTAGAATCATTCCTGACCCTATTCGGGCAGCTCCAGCTTTGAATATTGCTGAAGTGATTCATGTTCAACTCGCGCACTCCACCAGTACTGGAGGCCTCAAAGGCATCCTAAAGGATGGTGCTATAGCACCCAGTCGCTTGCATTTTGATTATAGCCAATAATTTTTCAGCCTGGGAGCCGAGAGGACCGGAGATATCCAGTGGGACAGAGCTGAGCTTTCCCGCATTGTCCATCATGCCTGGTGCGCCAACAAAAATTCTTCTAATGTCGTAGTACTTGCTCTAGGCTGGGGCGATGGTCAGGTAATTAAGTCTGGAGGCGAAGCCGCTTGTCTAGAGAAAACACTTCAAGGGGGGGCCGTCCATCATAAGAGTGGTCGCCTCTGGGTGGTAAATACTTCCACGCACAAAGTCCAGGGCTTAGCCTTTCAGATGGAAGCAGAAGACCCAACTGGTTTGTGAACTCGTTTCTTTCGTTTTCCCTGTTTTGGTTGGTTGTTTGTTTGGTTTTGTTCTTTTGAATCCGTGAATGGGTCCAGTCTGCTGAAATGGCAAAATTCATGTATATCTTTAAGTCCAACAATTCGTGCAAGGTACTGCTCGTCACCTTGATTTCCGATAAAAAATAGAACGTGTTGATTGTTTGTACCTTTATGTTCTGCATGATGTCAACTTCGTTTTTACAAGTCCGAATGTGATTTAGCCAAATCACAAGCCTGGACATCGCGTTGCGTACATTTGCACATAGACCATGAGTGACTGTGCGTATTTGATCTGGTTTCTGAATTGCTTGTGTATTGCTGTTTTTATCATTCCAACAAAGCTCATAGACTTTTCTTCTAATTTAAGCCTTTTGATCAACTTGATTCGTATGATTGACCCTGCTCATTTTAATAGTTTGGCCCAATTTTGTGACTCACCGCTTTGACGCCTCCTGTCTCCAGTGTGTGTTGCCATGTCATCGTATTGGAACCGCGGTTCTTCTTGGCAGCATTCCCAAGATCAGTGGCGTAACAGTTGGACTTCCCCTTCTGATCCGGGTAATTCATGGAATCAATCTGGCGGCCCTCAAGAAGTGGCCCATCCAGCAATTGATATTCCTAGCAGTTGGCAGCAAACATCCACCCATTTTGATGAGACCCCTGTTTATGGTCATCGTTTTTTCAGAGTAATCCAGCCAACCGCCTGGTCGAGAAAACGCGGCCTGTCAGGGACTAATCCCTTAACAGTGCCCATTGGATTGCTCACGCGCCACGGTGCAGCTGAGTTTGCTCTTAGAGCTCTAAGCGAAGGTCGTTTCGTTGGGATCGTCTGTACCAGATCCATTACCGAGTCCGTGCTCCTGTCCCAATTTTTGAAAGGATTACGTGATGCTGGTCACGATATCGATGCTGTTGCTGAAAGCCTGCATCGCAAGAACAATTCCAACGTGTCACCCCCAGCAAAGTTGATCGTCCTTGTGATTTCATGCAACCATTGGTTCAAGTTCTTCTTGATGCAATCGCACAAGTTGCTCCTGCCAAGCAGGACACCGTGGCCATGAGACAGCTGCAAGACATAAAAGCGCAGTTGCACGCAGCTCAAGAAAAATTATGCCGTGCTGGTATGGAGGTGACACCTGACCGCACTCGACCTTCTAATGTTCCTTTGCCTGCTGCTGAAACCCCTGAACTCAATTCTGATGTTTCGTGTTCTGTTCCTGTTGACCCTCCCCTTCCAAAACGGCAAAAAACTCAACCATCAGCAAAGACCAGCGCAACCCAGCGGTCTCTTCAGGCAATGTTTGCGGCATCTGCCCCGTCAGGAGCACCAGTTCAAGAAGATGCTGCCATGACAATGGCTCCGGACCAAGTCTTGGAGCCCAAGGCACCAAGCTTGCGATCCCACCCTTTGGTAAGCACCACTGGTCCTTCTGTCAAGAAGTGGTATGAATCGTTTGACACCGAAACACAACAAATGGCAAAAAAGATCATCGAGTCGAGTTGCTCCAAGAGCAGCGCTACGGCAAAGAACGCCTTCAGACTGCCGCCGCGCAGTATGGGATCCCTGCGGGTGATGCTCTTAAACTCACCCCCAAATCCCTCATTCAAGTCATTTCGATTGGTGCTGCGATGAGTGCCTGACTGGCACAGGGAAAATGTCAGCTTCCACCACAGACAGTGATGGCTGACATAGCACTTTTAAGGAAGTTTTTCATTCGTGTCATTCACCAGATTCCTGCCATAGCGAAGTCTATTGCAATCTGGGCATTGGGCTTGCTGCATTTAATTTGTCTTCATGAATTTCCTTCCTGCACAGTTCGAACCCAAATGTGGCGACGAAGACTCGCCACACTTGGTGTTACCCCGTTTAATTATACTTTTGCGTTCTTTGAGACTGCTGCGGTTGTATATATATCAAGATGCCATTTCAAGAACCTACCACGAAATCTCCGTGGATTTACCATCAGCATGGTAGGTTCTATATTGGGTCTGCGTCCATCGGCGCTTCAAAGCGTGAATTTAACCGCATGGCGAAACTCCGTCAGATTCGTCACAAAATGCCAGTGAGCACAGAGCTCGCCCTCCAATACTGGGCCAGACGCTCTGATTTTGAAATGTTCACTATCCTTGTGCTGAAATCTTTTGATACTTATGCCAAAGCCTGGACGTTTGAACATTTGCTGATTTCACATTGGCAGCCACCATTGAATCACCCTTTCATCACAAAGATTTTGTCGCTGAAAGCCTGTGGATGGTTGCTCAAGATGCAGCACCATCATATGTATTTTCCTTCTGTTCCCTTGGGAGATAGGCTGTTTCTTCGTGTTCGTCGACGACTCCGTACATTGGGTTCAGTTCCTACTATTCATTCTTTTCAAGCTCAAGCTTGGAACACACTGTTCTGTTTGACTTCACCAGGACGGTTATCATTTGACACCGGTCGACGGTTGCGTACCGGAGAATTTCATGATTGGGAAATTTAGCGTTGTACAGGTTGGCTAACCATTTGGAGCAACCAAAAAGAGGGCAAGCTAGAAAGTTGTTAGCCTCAGCCATGCAATTTAGAAATCTCACGGTCCCCAAAGGGAATAAGCCAGTGAGTATTCAGTTTCTTGCGCATGACTCACTTTCAAAAGCGGTTGAGAAGTTTCTCAGAGAGCATGTCATTCAATTCAAAGAGTTGGCGGTCCCCTTACACCTTCCTACTGCAAAAAATCGTGAAGCTGCATCACCAAAACTATCAGCGGTGTTACAGAATTTCAAGGCATTTGATCACCTTGATCATGGCCATGACGGTTCTCATCTTTCTTGTTGTTGTCCACAGTTGTTGGATAAAGTTTCCCCACATATTCGCCGTGATGCACAAAGACAGTTTGGACTTCTTGTTGCTGTTTCTTTGGAAGATTTGGTTTTGCCACCAGAGTTGCGGTTGTTGCAGTATGCCAACGCCAACTCGACCTTTTTCCTGACCAAAAATGGCTTTTTCACTCGATTTCATGCACAAGTGCGGAGTTGGTCAAAATACCATGGACTACCACCAATCGGTGATGATTTCATTGAAGAATTTTTGGAAACGTACTGGGTGTTACACACGGCTCAGCTTCAATATGATCCTAGGTACACCAAACAGTTGGTGGTACGCCTCAAGGCCTGGTTGCCCAGATCTTGCGTTATTCATCATGCTGATCATGAGGCTTACAAACTCACTCTTTTTTCCCCTTGTCTTTATTTCCAAGGAACATACAGAACCTGGAGTGACAAAGATTTATTTGAACCTTTTTCTGGCACGGTACAAGATGCTATGTCGGAGGTTTCTTCTGCGTTGTCTTCAAGGTTGCAGTCCAAGTACCGATGGGGAATTCGAAAGGATGCGAAATTACCAACGGGGTTCGTCTTCCTGAAGCGGAAGAAACAGTTTCTCAAGGGTCGTACTCTAATTTCGTATTTCAGGTCTTATTATGCTGTTCTCATGCAAGTTACAGCACGAACCATCGACTCCATGTGTGTACAGCTTTGGCCACAAACCTTTGGTCAACTTTCTGTTCCGAATATTTGGCGGGCCATACATGAACATTTCACAGTTGCCTCAGAAGAAATCACTTTTGATGTTATTAATGACGATTTGATTGGATTTTTTAATTCGATTCCACAGAATCGACTCCTGGATGCTGTTCATTCTCTGGTAGCTGCATGGAAGCAACATCATGGTGACACTGTTCTTTCTGTTGATGTGAGCCTCAAAGGCCCCGCAATGTACACCACTTACGTCGGGCAGTTTCGCAAAGCTCATTCTCCTGGTCGCAGTGTCCTTCCTGATCACATTTTCGAAATAGTTGCTGCTTCTCTCAAGTCAAACATTTTTTTGGCTTTGAATCAAGTTTGGAAACAGTTTCGAGGAGCGGGCATAGGTGCCCACATATCACCGAGTTTAAGCAACCTTGCGGTCACAATTGTGGAAAGAACATGGGCATACACCTTTCGAGATGCAATCAATTCTCCTTCCTTGGCTTTTATGGGTTTACGATATGTAGACAACCGTTTTGTTTTGTTCCAGGCTTTTGGCCCCCAACCTCCTGCGATTGCAGTCCTGGCTCACTCAGAATTTTATGAACTCCCGGTCGAACTTGAGCCAGTTGACTCCCAGGAATTCTTGGGTTTTTTTGTGGATCATAGAAATCGCACTGTTCAATTTAAATTCTCCGAACTATCACAAATTCGAGATGTGTACTCCGCTGGCAGTCTCCGTCTTCGGCTTTCTGGCTTGAGGTCGAGAGCACATTCGATCACAAGGTACACTTTTCCATGTACAGATGTACCCAGATCAATAGAGCAGTTACTTGCTCTATATCAGAGGAAAGGTTTTTCATACAAAGATTGCAAACGTGCACTTCAAAAAAGTTGCTGTCACTGCAGTCAGGGTGGTGCTAGGTTAGACTCTATCTTTCAGTTTCAGCCTGCACCCTGACTATTGTTCGACTTCCCGGTGGGTTCTTACCCACCGTGTGTGTGTGTCTAGCTCTGTTCCTAAGAGTCTTTTCATTTCAGTGCAGCGCATTCTTCCGTAATTCATCAACAGGGGGCCCATGAGCACTTGGATGGCATGGGCCAATGAAGACCCATCCAAGATGCTGTGAAAACGTACCTGTTTGCATGCACGATTTTCATTGTTTCCATGCCAACACAAATTTGTGACAAGTGTTGTTTCTTCCCAGCTTGCCTGTCTTCCAAGGGCAAGGACGGCATGGAACAATTTTCACAATCTGAATAGCATGGTGGCTAAGCTTACAACCACCCTTGCTCATGTTCTGGTGATTTTCATCCACCATTTGAATTTTCGAGTTTTTCCTGCTGTTCCACTGGGTTAGCTTGGCCTAAGTAAGTGTAGCGCCATAAAGCCAAGTGATCCCGCCAGGCTTGATACCCACAATCGTCAGATGTAACGAAATCGACAATAGAGCATGACCTAGTCACAAGCTGACGACTCAGTGTGCATGTGTGAAACATCTGAAGAGATGTAAAACTTTTAACCTGATGGAGTTTCGGCTTTCAATTCCATGTTTCTGTCTTGGTCATCATTAATTTCAAACTTGCAAAGGGCTGCAGGGAATGTCATAGTTCTGCAGCCAGCGAAGACGGCTATGGCATTCTGATCATTCTGTGATATCGACCTGGGACGCTGGATCGACGTACCTGCTATCCAAATCTTTTTCCAATGTGGTTTACGTCAAAGCAACCGGCTAAGCTCAGAACCGGCAAGTCGAATTTTCAATCAATTCAACTCCCTGGCTATGGCGGTGGCAGCTTCTCAATGTTTTCAGGTCCTTTCACCGACCCATTCCTGTCAGGTATAGTAGAAGTGGTTTGCACGTAAGATGCATTCCGCAACAGAATTCGCAATGACAGTTCTGAGCAAGTGTGTTGCTCACGTCGGTTCGACAAGATGTCGTGAGCCCTTCGGGGAATATACCTGGCTAGGTAGGATGTTGGATCCTTCGACTTCATCTCTAAATTTAAACTTTTAATCTAGTAATTCGTTTAAGTCAAGTGAAAGAGATGGCTTTTTTTCAGCTTTTCATATTGGTCGGGTGTTTGTTGAAACAGCGTGCCGCTGTTCTGGGCATCGCCTTCTTTTCCTGAATTCCGATTGTATTGTCAGCCGCGACAACCTTCTTTTTTCCAACGTTGCTCGCATTGCAACATGACAAGGTTTAGGCTTCAGGACATGCGTTTTAGGTGTGGTCACTCTCTTTTGGTTGTTTTGGTGAAGTTATGTGAGGTTCAATTGTGCGCTAATTCGAGGGTTGCACGCTTAAGCTGTCCAAGGGTTTGAAGTGACTACCGAGGGCCTTGAGCCTTATCATGGCACTTTGCATTTGCCTGTGGATGCATCATTTTGTTTAAACTGCTGATTAAGATTGCAACTGACCCCTGCATTTTTGCCATGTTCCCGTTTCCGTGGAACTTTCGATCATGGATGAGCCCATCTGCATCTCCAATCCAGACCGGATGATGCAACCCATGTGGACCCCGACGGCAAACACATTTCTTCCAGTTCCTGGCATGGGCGGACATTACAGTGCACCATGGGGAGTGATCCCCAGATGCAACAACAGGCGCAGTCCCATGCTCAACTTTCATCCCTGCAGCAGCAGAATGCTCTTCTCAATCAACAACTCGCTATTCAAGCTGCCTCTCACATCCACCAGCCGAAACAATTTTTTACACCAACCGTCACCTAACGTCCCGTCACCACCACCTACTCCAACCGTCCCTCCGTCATCACCTGAGCCCCCACAACCAAAGGCTCCACCTGAAGGGACCAGCTCCACTCCAACATCTTTAAATCCAGAAGAGATGATCAAACAGCTTCGTGCTAACTTCAAAGAAGGGATGACCGACGCTTTTCGAAAGTTTCAAGAATCCAATCAACCTCCATCGTCTCCTGCTCCACCTTCACCTGTCATACCACCACAATCACCACATCCGCCACCTGTGGCTCCACAATCGCCCCATGCTCGTGCCACTCTCCTGTCCCTCATCGACATCCACGGTCACCATTATACCGACCAGGGACTATCTTCGTGCAGACAAGGATTTTCGTCCAGACAAACGATCCATTTCTCAACCTCGCAGTCACGTCGACGACGTGCAAAATCCACTCATTCCAGACACATACACCGGCAAGCCTCATGCTCACCGAGATCTACCTCTCTTTGACTACGCTCACGGACCAGGTCACCTTCATTGGCCTTTCTGGAACCACCACAACACTCCCACCAGGACCACTACCAAGACTGGACATCTCAACCGCAGTCCAGCTCCCAGCAAGGTGACTATCAGTTTCGGTAACGTCTTCCACACAATATCCCAACAAACACCAGGATCGACACTACAGTGGAAGATATGGCCCATATGATCGTTGGCATCAATACGACCAGCATGACCAACAGGATCAATCCACTTCCCACTCTTACCAAGTCCGTCTTCAAGCGGCACAATCCGCCTCCAAGCCAGTCACGGCTTACCCAACTGACAAACAATCCTACTTTCATGAGGAACGGGCCAGGGCAGCCTGTGAACTTAGGAGGATAAGCGTCAACAGTTGCGCAAAGTCAACAAATCCTCGTTCGACTCTGTCACCCGAGCGCTCAACAATGTGGCAGATGGCATTCCCTCTCACAAAGTCAAGCTCGTCGTCCATGCCCTAGCAGGGGCAGGCCTGCTTGAACATCTCAATCTTGGTGATGTCAAGATATTGGATCTCCCTATCACCAAGAAGAATGCTCTGGTGATTGACTTGCCAAGATTCAAACCTCGCCCACCCTTCGGTGGTAAAACCAGCCGCACGTGGGCGTTGATCCACGGGACATCCGTCACAGCTGCGCAGTGCATCTTGGAAGGCCTCATTCGTCCCGCAGACTGGACGTACAACCCGGATCTCAAGCAGAGCCAGCTTCCAACCTTTGGAGCCTACGCTTTGGGGATGGAGATTGCACGAGCCGACAATAAGGTACCCCAACGGGCAGCCATTGACTTGTTGGACAGAGCTTCGAAGAAGGGGAAGGGTCAGCTTCCAGTTCTCATTGGAGCCCTTTACCCAAACGATCAGGTTAGGCAATTTCCTGCCTAATAGTTAGTTAATTCCTTATCTCCTACCCAATCAGGTAAATAATTCCCGAGAGCGTCTGAGCGAAGGGTTCTTCTAGTAGTGGGGGTCTGTCAAACATTTTCACATCTTCACATCTTCACATCTTCACATCTTCACATAACATCTTCAAATCTTCACATCTTATCATCCTCACATCCTCACATCTTCACATCTTCTCATCTTCACATCTGCTCATCTTCACATCTTCACATCTTCTCATCTTCACATCTTCTCATCTTCACATCTGCTCATCTTCGCATCATCTCATATTCTCATCCTCACATCTTCACATCTTCACATCCCCACATCCTAACATTTTCACATCCTCACATCTTCACATCTTTTCATCTTCACATCTTCACATCTTCTCATCTTCACATCTTCTCATCTTCACATTTTCTCATCTTCACATCTTCACATCTTCTCATCTTCACATCTTCAGATCTTCATATCTTCACATTCTTTCTTGCCCTCTTGCTCTCTTGCCCTCTTGCTCTTGCATTCTCCTTCTTTTCTATTTCTCTCTTAAGGCGCGGGGCAGTGACAACGAGACGGCACGAAACGCAACCCTTTCGCACGAAATGAGGTTCGATCGCCAAAAGCTGAAGTAAAATTGCGATTTGCACGCGTCCGGCGCAACCCTTTCGCACGAAATGAGGTTCGATCGCCAAAAACTGGTGTAAAATTGCGATTGTCACGGGTCCGGCGCAACCCTTTCGCACGAAATGAGGTTCGATCGCCAAAAACTGAAGTAAATTGCGATTTGCACGCGTCCGGCGCAACCAAATGAGGTTCGATCGCCAAAAACTGCGAGGCTCGAAATCCTCGATTTGAGGTGGATCACGTTATTCACAACGTTATCGACCTTGAATCCGGGATTCCTTAGGCTTCCGAGAAGATGTGTGTTGAGGCTGGCAGCTCTAATTTGGCATTCTGGGCTGCTAGAAGCTCAATCTGGAAGTTCCAAAATGAAGCTGGCAGCTCTGTTTTAAAGCTGGCAGCTTCAAATTGAAGCTTCTTGCAAAGGGCTGCCAGCTTCGTTTTGAAGCTTCTGCTTCAAGATGAAGCTTCTCAGAAATTTCAAGATAAGTGCCCAAGAAGCTTCAAAATGGAGCTTCCCAGAAGCGCTTCTTGAACTTCCAAGAAGCGCTTCTAGAAGCGCTTCTGGGAAGCTCCATTTGGAACATGATGGGTGTGCGTGTGCGTGTAACATCTAAATAGATGTAAAACTTCTCCTTTTGTTGTTTTCTTTCTTCTCTCCTTTTAATAAAGCAGGGGAGTGGAGCAGGCCTGCAGAGCTCCACTTAACAAAGCTCTGTCCTGAGGATATCACTGGAGACGTCCAGTGACGCAGTGACGTACCTGCTTTGTTGTGATCACCTGTTGTCAGGGTTTGCTTCCGATCATTTTTCATTTCTGATGATGGGAAGAGGCTCAACACAACAACCTCCAAGTCGTTTTGCATTTTCTGCACTGTTGTCATCTGTTGTCGCAATCTGTATTTATTTATTTATTTATTTCGACGTCTTGGTCCTGGTCTACGGGTCATTTGATGGTATCTGGCGGATTTCGATTTGATGACATTCATGGCAGCGATTGTCTTCTCGGAGTACCTAATATTGATCAACTTAGGTTCCCATTTTTGCGTGTTCCTGACTAATTTGCACGTTACAGGACTGTTCCTGATGGATCTCTTCAAAGATCCAATTTTGTCTAGTGTAATACCTATGGTGACTCCGACAAGGTGCCATAGGGCCACTGGAGGCAACCCCGTTGTGGGTGACTGTTGACGAATTTGACTTCCGAATTTATACATTTTAAACTGGTAATTCGCTTAAGTAATGTGTAACAGTCGGCCTTTTGATTATCCAGCCTTTTGCGAAGTCCTGCTGTTCCTGCGGTCCCTCGTGAAACCTTGAGAAATGCATCTCTGAAGCAAGTTTCTCTGCATTCGGTGTTTGAAGCATGGGCTCCGGAGTTTGAAAAACAGCATTTTGTCTCTTTTTGGGAGTTGGATTTCTTGGTTTTGGTGGTGCTCAGTCATCACATCAACTCCTGAGGGTTAGTGTTCCATTTACATGTCACTGGAACCTTGCATGATATGCTCTTTGGATGTGACATCTCGAATCTATGATCTATGTGTTACATTTTTTGTCGGCAAATTAATTCTACGTAAAAGGTACACTGGACTGGTGATTTGTTGGGTTGTTATTGCTGATAGTATGAAAGTTCTTTGGTTAGTCATGGTTGCGCAGGCTGGTTCCGGCAGTGTAGCTACAAGCATTGCAGCCATGCTCAATTAGCAGGCTGCGAATCTTTGAAAAAAAGGAGCTGCAGTAGCTTCCTGCATCGAGGTGATGGCGCCAGCAACCGCGACATACAGATTTAAGAGGTGATTCTGCAGCTGCGTCTAAACGCTGTATAGCTTCTACAGGGTGGCAAAGCTTCTGGATCATAGATCAGCCCATCTCAGCGAACACGTTGAAGCGGCTTGAAATAATCAATCTGACCATTCCCGAGCTGCGTATGTTTTTCAGTTAATTTTGAATGGTTTTAAAACATCTCCTAGTCCCCACAGCCTGGGATAGCCCCCGCAATTGTTAACACTTGTTTCAATTGTTTTTAAAATTGTTTCAGTTGTTTTTAAATTTGTTGCAATTGTTTTTACATGTTTTTACAATTGTTTCAATTGTTTTTAAAATTGCTTCAATTGTTCTTTAAATTGTTTCAATTGTTTTCAATATTGTCTCAATTGTTCTTAAAATTGTCTCAATTGTTTTCAAAATTGTTTCAACTGTTTTCAAAATTGTTTCAATTGTTTTCAATATTGTCTCAATTGTTCTTAAAATTGTCTCAATTGTTTTCAAAATTGTTTCAACTGTTTTCAAAATTGTTTCAATTGTTTTCAAAATTGTTTCAATTGTTTTCAAAATTGTTTCAATTGTTTTCAAAATTGTTTCAATTGGTTTCAATTGTAACATTGTTTCAATTGTTTTTAAATTGTTTCAATTGTTTTTCAAATGTTTGAATTGTTTTGAAAATTATTGAATTAACTGTTTCAATTGGATTTAACATTGTTTCAATTGTTTGAAACTTGCTTCATTGTTTTTGAGATTGACTTTTCAATTTATTCTGCCATGTTTTCAGCAGGGTGTCACTTGATTCTACCAGTGTTTCTAAAAAATGTCTCAAAAAGTTTGCACGTGTTCGGATTGTTTAAAGTTTAAAATTAAAAGTTTAAAGTTTAAAGTTTAAACAACCAAATGTTCATGTTATTTCGGAAGCTATATCTTTCGACATTGTTTGGTTGTTTCCTTTAGCCTGCGACGTTCTGTAAACACGCTCACGATTTTCCTTACCCGCTTCCATATTTCAATGTCCTAAGTCCTAAGGCTAAGGAATTAGGAACTACTTGGGGCTTGTCATGGCCTAATAATATCCAGAGACTAGACATCGGTTCGAGCAAACTTGGTCCAATAACATCAATTTCCAACGCAAAAGCGAAGATTGGCTCCGAAGCAACTACAAAACAAATAATAGGTCGGAAACGAAACACATCTTGTTGGTGAACCTGTCTTGGCTATCAAGGAACAAGTCAAGGTCAAATGTTGTTGCTTATACTCGTAATGATCCCTGTTCATCCCTGTTCATCGAAATCTTCCATGGCCCTGAGAAACGAATTTAAACCAACGATGCGCTGCAACCTTTAACTTCAACTTGACTGCTGCTTGACATCTGTCAAAAGCGGCAAAGGATTGGGAAGCATGACCCTCTTAGAACACGAAATCCAACCCATGCCATGCAGTTTCCAACGCAAATGCGAAACAGCAGCACCTTTTTTCTGCGGCAATGGAACTGCAGGGTGGTGAAACGCATCCATGCTGCCACGACCAGGCCAGTGGCCAGAACTATGCAAACCAGGCCAATGGCCACAGCCATCATGACTGCAGCTTGGCCAAGGCAGCGACAGCCACAAGCACATCGTCCTCGCCCTCTTGGAGTGATTTGTCATTGTCATCATCACTTTCTTCAGGGCTCAAGCAGTGACGCCAAGCCAGCTTGTAGAATCGCAAGAAGAACAGAGCCATAGCGTTCCCAGCCAAATCAGTCATGAGGCTGTCTGAGAAATGTGCTTTGTTGCTTGCACCCTTTTGATCCTGGCCTGTGGCCTGCATATTTTCAATCAAACGCAGCACAGGAAAACCTTGAAAAATCAAAGCTTCTGCTCCAGTCACAAGCCTCGACTGCGACTCAGACCACGGGATCTGCCCCGGAAGCATTGTGGGCGCCACATGCCTCCAACTTTCCTGCAGGGTGTTGCCATGAGCCCTTCCAACGCTCTGGCTGAGGTTGCGGAATTCTGTTCGAGGACCGGCAATTCGAGACAACCTCAATACATCGCCTTCTCTCTTTGTCAGGGTCCAAAACCATTCCTTTTTATTCAAAGCTGCCTCCACTGGCACGCCCCACCGAACACCAAGCTCCTCTGCAAATTCCATGTGCTTGGGAACCCATGCCTGGTTCTGCGGGGCTTTCTTCTTCGCAGCTTTCTCAGCTGCTTCACTGTGTTCCTGCAAGGCGTTCGCCACAACCCAGCAGTGCTCACTGCCATCAGCAAACAGGCATTCCGTTGCACAAGGAGCTGACCGCATGCATGAGCTCACCATTTTGCGAAAGGAGGCGAAAACCTGGCCAGTGGCCTTTCCGTCCAGCCTGAATCTGCCTGAATTTTCGCGCACAAAAAAAACATACAAACTGCGCCTTCTACAAGGCAACCCAAACTCTTGAGCATCAGTCATCACTTTTTGACCTTGGTATCCATATTCATGCAGCATTTCCCGCATCAAAAGGATCAAATTTGTTTCTGCAGCCGCCGACACCTTGTCATCGACGGCATCATCAAAGGCGCATGGCTGGCCACATATAGTCCTTGAACCCGCGGTATGTCTGAGCACTTCCTCCTTTGCTGGTTGCTTGGGACAAAACCAACTTCTTCCGGTCCACAGAATTGAGTTTGCTCATGTCTTTGCAGCTTGTACCAATCATCAATACATCAACGGGCGGGATCTGGCAAGGGCGACCTGTGTGCACGTCGCACCATGCTTCAGAATTTCCCATGTCAGCGATGTCCTGGAACAAGCAATCCTGCTCAGACCTGCTGTGAGTCGCTGTGCCATTCGCAACAACAGATCTTATCCACTGACGCTTGCACTTGTCAGACTCGCAGGAAAATTTGTGGACCAGCGTCACGTCCATCTTGGCTTCTTCAAAAGCATCACTCAAGGCATTCATTACAAAGTAAGCACCTTCACTGCCCGAGCAAGCGCTTCCCCAGGTGAGAGTCAATCTACCAGGCCTGTGGCCAAGAGGTCCCAAAGCCTCTTCTTGTCCAAGAAAAGCTTGAAAACCGCTTAAATTGTCAGCCGCAAATTTCTCTAGCCATGCTCCAGACACAAAATCCTCAGCAATGGCGACCCGGCTAGAAGCCGTCAGCATCACGCTGGCGTCATCTGCCACACTGGAGCCGCCTCCTCTTGCACCTTGGGCTCTCCATGGCTCCAGCGCGGATCAATTTGCACGAAACATTGTCTCGAATCTCGAGCCTATAAGTGCAACAACATGTCAAACTTAAACTGGGATAACGCGAGTGAGGTCCTTGCATGCACCAGTTCCTGCTAACAGTCAAAAGTTTGAATCATTCTGACTTTGCTTGAAAGAACGTAGAAGACCAATGTGCGGACAGCGACAACAAAAGCCAAGAAACAACGGCCCCAGATTCTATCATACCATGATAATGCAAGTGGAATCACAACCGTTTTCCCCCACACAGTCATGCAGCACTGGAAAAAGACCCGGCGCAGCCTTGCCGACTCTTTTTAACAAAACCTGAGCAGTCGCTTGCTTCCCACCATTGAAGACAACCAGGGCCGTGCTCATGCGGATGCCGAGAGAATTGACAATGCAGCTGAACCCGGCTAGTAGCCGCTGACATTGACACACCTCAGCTGACGTCCTCAGCTTGGCCCTTGCCTCTGCCTTTTCCCTGCCCTCTCCCTCCACCGCGTCCTCGACCTTTCTCTTCTGCCTTTGGCGTGACCTTTGCCTTTGCTCTGCCTTTCCACAGTTGGCTTTTCAAGCCAGGTGAAAGGGGCTTGTTCTTCTTGCGAGCATTTCGCTCTGGGCTGCCTGCGTGTGCGGGGGCTTCCTCTTCCTTGCGCTTGTCTGCGCAAGCTTCTCCTTATTGTCTTCTTTCTTATCCTTGTCTTTTTTCCTCTCCTTTTTCTCCTTCTTCTCCTTCTTCTCCTGCTTCTCCTTCTTGTCCATCTTTTCCTTATCTTCTTTCTTCTCCTTCTTGTCCTTCTTCCCCTTCTTGTCCTTCTTGTCCTTGTTGTCCTTTTTCTCCTTGTTGTCCTTCTCGGCCGTGTCGTCCTTCTGGTCTTTTTTGTCCTTGTTGTTCTTCTCCTCTTTGTCTGCGCTGTCTTGCTGGGCCTTGTCTTTGGCTGCGTCGCTGGTCTCTGCAACAGCTGCCCTTTCTTTCCTAGCTTGCCCAGCTTCGAGCGCATCGGGTTCCTGTTTCTTCTGTGCGTTCTGCGTTTCTTCTGCTGCTTCTTTTTTCTTCTTGTTTGGATTGAACTCCTCAAACAAACTGGACATGGAGAGAACGTCGTCATCCTTCCTCTTGGTCTGCTTTGAGCCACTGCCTGTGCCTGCCTTCCTCTCGATTTCCTCTATCAAAATTTTACCGTCCTCCTTCAAGCTGACTTTGGCATCTGGGAGGCTGATCCACTTTGCTCGTAGGGTTGCACCTATGTCAGCCAGCTCTTTGGCAGCAGCCTTGGGGGTCGCATTCTTGATTTTGTCGCTTCGCAGGCATATAGCCGCAATCGCAGCCACATGGAAGGCGCCCACCCTCGCGATGGACTGGGTCTTTTGCTCGTCAGCACCGCCAATCAAAGGATCCTGGCCAGTGGCCTGTGTGTGCTTCTCAATCTCTGCAGAACAGCATGGGCCAGTGGCCAAGGCAAAAGACACCGAACTGACTTTGGCAATAGCGTCCCTTGTTTCCTGGATTTCTCAAAGCAATTTCAAGAGCTGCCGTCTTCTCAGCAAGGGAGCCAGCAAGCTTGACACCAAATTGCTTGTACTTGTCTATCTCCCCCAGAGGAGGCATCTTGGCACATGGCCCCTCGACATTCGTCATGCAGTCCATGACCTTGCTGATACGTTTCTGCAACTCTTTCAACGCAGACGCTGCAAACCGCCTGGCCAGGCCGGAAAGCCATGAGGAACACGCGTCGATTTTGCTTGTGGCAAAGTCGGCCTTCAATTTGTCATCTGACAAGGCCTTTGCAAAAAGCTCTGCTGTCACTTGCACAGCTTGCGACATTTTGACTGCATCAGCCCTTCCAGCTTCGGCTTCCAGCCCAACCACCTAGCCAAGGAAACCAAAGGAGGTGCTGTTTCTGTATGGGCGAAATGTAAAACAAAAGACAAAAGTTCGCTGCAAATGAAACCCAACTGAACTTAATGAGAAGTTGTAGATCTGTTTGGTTATCCAGTGAATATATTTTACATACACTTTTACGATATCTAAAAAATAAAACTGCTTGAGCTATCTTGAGCTCTAACACCTCATTTGCACCATTATGAACAATGTCGAACTCTTGGAATGGTTACCAACGAACAATATTCAAAATTCAATATGTGAAGGAACTCCATGCTACGCGCTACTAGGCCTATAAATTTGGGCTACCCTGACCCAGCTACCTCTAAGAAGGACGCCACCAAATCACGCAGTGGGTGAGCTTTGGGAATCTTGAGCAGCAACTGCGCTTGGGCACTTTCGGCCAAAGCCGGCACAGTGCCAGACAGGCACTGATCGGCCACATGTGCGATCGCCCCGAAGCCAGCAGAAAACAATGCTTTTTCTTTGGCTTCGCCTTCACTTTGTCTACCAAGTCTTCACTTGTCCACCCAGGCAACCGGCTCGGCACCAGTTGGCACCATTTCCGCAAATCACTGCTCTTCGGCGTGCTCTTGAATTTGGCGTGGTCCAGGAAAACGAATCTAATCATGTCAGCCAACAAGCAGGAAAATGCCTTGTAGTCCTCCAGCAAGGTTGACACTTGGCTAGCAGCGCAGCACTTGGCCCAGAATCCATGCTCCACTAAGCCCGCATGCTTCAGAGCAGGAAGGTACGTGTCCAAGTTGACCAAAGCCTTTCCGGAACCATCCTCTATGTCAACCATGCAATCGTTGCTGATGGCTTCAAGTAAATGGTGCCTGCAAAATGAATGCGAAAAATGAAGCAACTACATCAAGTTCAAATGGTGAATGAAACCCGGCCAGTGGCGCGTGCTCCTGATGTTGAACCGTAAAAAAATTGAAATCATGTATTTCGAAGCTTGATATGCGGCGATCCAAATATTCAAACCAAAACAAGAGGAAATGGTAAATTGTAAATGCCAAGGGGCAGATGCTCGGACAGGTTTGCTTTCATCTCGGCCTCCAGCAGCTCTTGCGTCTTCTGGACGAAAACCTTCTTGTAGCTGCCCAATGCGTTGTTGCATTTCTCCCACGCTTTGGAAACAAGTTTGACATTGGCGACATTGGGGTCTCCTTTGGATGCCTTCAAACCCAAGACTTCCGTGATGCATTTGTCAACAGAGTCCTGCACAGGCTGCAAAGCTGCAATGAGCTTTAATCCTTGCGAAGAACAGGCGGCGGTCAGTGTCTCCAGGCCTGTGGCCAAACCCTGCAAGGACTCCTGAACCTTTCCTTGCTTCTCTCCTGTTTTGACATGGTCTACAGCCAAATCGAAGAGAGACCTCACAAGGGCATGCTCCAAGAAGAAGCCTTCAACCGCTCCTCCATCCACCAAGGTGCCATCACCCTCGATGTTGCATCTTGATTCTTCGCAAACCTGAACAGCCTTGGTAGTTGCAGCAAGATCGTCCCTACTCAGAATGTTCTTGGCCAACGTGCAACCATCCAACAAAGACTCTGCCAGGAAATCCCCCATTGGAGACTTGCAATGGGCCACCACTGCATCACACAAATTGATGACCTCAGCCATATTGGAAGTGACCTGGCCAGTGGCCAAAGCATTGACATCCTCTTGCTTTAAACCTCGCAGCGTCAGCAAAGTCCTCCCTGGACCAAGATTGTACTTTGGTGGCTAAATCGTGTATGGGCTTCATTATATCAGGTCTGGATAGTCGACCAAGCCATAACGCCTTCATGAGAATGCGGCATGCATTGGGTGCCAGTTCACCTTTAGCCTCTTCATCTTCAACAGAGACAGAACCATCAGGTACAAAAGGAGTGGCAGCATGCTTCAAACTTTTGGTGTTGGTGATGGACTTATAAAGGTCAACTGCTTGGTGTGCATAATCTAGCATGTCAAAGACTAAGGCTTCTTGTGCGCGAAACGCAGCACATTCCTCGGAACCTTCGGTTTTGGACAATGGCACTACTAGATGATTGCGACCTTAAATTCGATATATTGGTTCAGATGGTTCTATGTCCACAACCGACGTTAGCTTCGCCCAAAAGGCTTCATGTTGGTCTGAGGGTCCAGCTAATGTGAGGTCATCCGCATAAGTGGAGAGTAAAAACTTAGTGTCAGGGAAAAAGAAGTTACCTGGATATTCTGGGACTTCTTGACCTCCAAGGTTGCGGATAACTTTCTTAAGGTGTTGCTCCAAAAGACCACCGGCATCAGGATGGCCGTACAAGGCTTTAACTAAGAGGACTACGGGTTTAACAAACTTATCTCGCCAATGTTTTGGCCTTAGCTTGGGCGGGAGTTCTATCCATGTCTTATATTTAGAAGACAGGAGTGCTTGAACATACGCTTTGACAGCATCTGCTGCGGAAGAGCTATTACCTGGCAAGGAACCGTATGCTAAGCAGGCGTTTAAACCCTGAACCGAAGTGGGATTCGCTCCTAGTTCCTGATATACAGCAGCTGCACCGTGCTCATCTTTTGCACAATCACCACAGTAGACTCTTCTAGCTTTCATCTTCTGAAGATGTTGTGTGAGTTCGTAGAACTTGATGGAAGCAAGCAATGGTCATTAACTGCCCGAAGTCGACAGAGACCCCGGTGCGCTTTGCCTCTGCACGGACGTCCTCTTTCTCTCTGACTGAGTCGAGCGACCACGTTCCAGCCTTGATAAGCCCGCCAGCTTCAGCTTTGACTGCTTCAAGGGCAAGTGGGTCTGACAACATCTCCGCTCTAGAGAGCAACTTGGTCACCATGGCTTGAACCTCTTGGGAGGGTTGAGTGCTATCTTCGTGCCCGAAGGCCTGTGGCAACAAACGCTCATGGTCAAGGAGCTCTGCCACTAAACCGTTTACTGTTGGATCTGTTTCAACGGCAACTGCTAGATCCTCAAAACCAGCTAGTGGGGAAACGTGTTTAAGATGTTGCTCAACTTCGCGAAGCTCTTCGGGTTCAGTTGAAAGGGGAGTGCATGGCATGGCGGGAGCATGCTGTTGTGCGCATTTAGCAGGGTACAGCGCTTGGGTAATCAAAAATGCCATCTCTGGGGGATACATAGCTGATCGCGCTGTTTCCGAACCTTCACACTTTTCATGTGGTTGCTCACAACTACACCTTCTATCTTTGAAAACATCTACTACCCTTTGGGATGTAGTTTTTACACGCCAAGGCTTTTTGATGGGAACACCCTTCTTGGATCTCAAGCCTACTGCGCATCGATCGAATTCGACCTCCATAAACTCCGGGTGTGAATCAAAGAAAGCTACGACATCTGGTCTCTTCCAGCCGGTCGATGGACGTGGCCATTCGAAAGAAACAGTGCCTCCTAGTTTCAAAACTAACTCAGCCCGTTTGGTAAAGCTATTGAAGAGTCTCTTCGATTCTCGAAGTTGGAGCGCTAATCTTTTCATATAAGCAGCTCCTCCCTTCTTTCTTTTGATATACTGCCAAGGAGAACCAGGCGTGCATGGTATGGACGACAAAAGATTGGGTGGTGCAACCTTTGCGGCTTCACCTATTTGGTAATCAAGTTGTGAACATTGATTTTCGTCACCCAGGTCTATCCTTTCCTTGCTTAACCCAATGTGATTAATATTGCATTGAACGCTTGCCAACCCAAGTTGTGAGTTGAGGGAGCATGCAAACTCAAACAGGAGGCCGCGTTCGAAACCATTTTTTTAAGGGGGGGGGCAAGCGATTATTATTACTTTTTTTTTTCTTTGGGGGGGGGGGGCGGGAGATAACCATTAGTGCTTCCAGAGAAGGGGAAGCGGCGACACCAACGCTGGGAGTGGAGGGGAAGGGGGGGGGCAATTGATTATTTTTACTTTTTTTTTCTTTGGGGGGAGGGGGGCGGGAGATAATCATTACTTCATGGAACAGCTGGAAAGGAGCCACACCAACGCTGGAGGGAGGGAAAGGGGGGGAGGGCAATCGATTATTATTACTTGTTTTTTTCTTTGGGGGGGGGCGGGAGATAATCATTACTTCTTGCAACAGCTGGAAAGACGCCACACCAACGCTGGGAGGGAGGGAAAGGGGGGGAGGGCAATCGATTATTATTACTTTTTTTTTCTCGGGGGGGGGGCAATCGATTATTATTACTTTTTTTTTGGTTGGGGGGGGGGGGTTTGACGGGAGATAATCATTACTTTTTGCAACAGCTGAAAGGAGCCCCACCAACGCTGGGAGGCAGGGAAAGGGGGGGAGGGCCAATCGATTATTATTACTTTTTTTTTCTTTGGGGGGGGGCAATCGATGATTATTACTTTTTTTGGGTTTCCTCAGGGTGGGGTGGGCGGGAGATAACCATTACGACTGCTACGACGACTACTACTACAACTACTAGTGAAGAAGGAGCGGACGGAAAAAGGAAACGGAGAAAAAGAAGTAGGAAGGGCGAAAGAGTAGGAGTTGGGGGGCTCTAGGTGCAGATAAGAAGCGACGGTTTGGGGTTGTTCTTCTCCTTGACCACACCGCTATCCTTCATGATCGCAGGCGCCATGAAGCGGAGAAGGGGACGTGTCGAGTGCAAGAGGCAGCGCAACGAGCCACAAACGGCTGTGAAGAAAGACAAAACGGCGTCCAGAAGCTCGGAGACCGATTCACTGGCAGAAAAGGCGCCCAGAAACACATTTAGTAGCCGCAGACAACGAATTTCAAGACACAAAAAAAGCTGCCGTATAGACGAAATTAGTGGCAGAACAAGGTCCCGGAAACGACTTGAGAGGCAAAAATAGCTCCCGGAACCGGTGAGGGGGGCCGGGGGTGTGTTGAATTATTATTACTTTTTTTCTTCGAAGGGGGGGGGGCCAATTATTATTACTTTTTTTTTTTATCGGGGGGGGGGGGGCGGGCAACGATTATGATTTCAAATAATAAGAATTGAACACAAACGGCTGTGAAGAAAGACAAAACGGCGTCCAGAAACTCGGAGACCGATTCACTGGCAGAAAAGGCGCCCAGAAACACATTTAGTAGCCGCAGAAAACGAATTTCAATACACGAAAAAACTGCCGTAGACAAAATTAGTGACAGAACAAGCTCCCGGAAACGACTTGAGAGGCAAAAATAGCTCCCGGAACCGGTGACGGGGGCCGGGGGGTGTTGAATTATTATTACTTTTTTTCTTCGAAGGGGGGGGGGGCGGCCAATTATTATTACTTTTTTTTTTCGCCGGGGGGGGGCGGGCAACGATTATGATTTCAAATAATAATAATTGAACAAACTCCCTCCCCCCCACGGAATCACCAACGATTATGATTTCAAATAATATGGCAGAAAAAGCTCCCGGAGACTACTTTAAAGGCAGAAAAGGCCCTGGATGGCAACAAAAAGCGCCCGGAAATTTGAATTTAGTGGCAGAAAAGGCTCCCGCAACTAATTTAATGGCAGAAACAGCTCCCAGAGACTAAATTCAGAGCAAAAATAATTCCCGGAAAGGACAGGAAAGCCTCAGAAAACAAATTTCAATGCACGAAAAAGCTGCCGTAAGCTAAATTAGTGGCAGAACAAGCTCCCGGAGACGAATTGAAAGGCAGAAATAGCTCCCGGAACGGGTGACAGGGGCCGGGGGGTGTTGAATTATTATTACTTTTTTTCTTCGGAGTGGGGGGGGCGGCCAATTAGTATTACTTTTTTTAGTCTACGGATTTTTTTGTGAAGATATATTTAGTCTAGCGGATTTTTTTTGAAGATATATTTAGTCTAGGGATTTTTTTTGAAGATATATTTAGTCTAGGGATTTTTTTTAAAGATATATTTAGTCTAGGGGATTTTTTTGAAGATATATTTAGTCTAGGGGATTTTTTTTTGAAGATATATTTAGTCTAGGGATATTTTTTTTGAAGATATATTTAGTTTAGGGGAACTTTTTTTGAAGATATATTTAGTCTAGGTGATTTTTTTAGGATATATTTTGATTTTGGAGCTTCAAAAGGCCCAGGGGTCCAGATTTGGCACCAAACCCTGTAAAACAAGCATTTTTTAAAAGGAAAAAATCGATTTTTGAAGGCCCTCGAAAGTTTGATTTTTTGTATGCAAGTTTTTTTGAAGATATAATTAGTCTAGGGAATTTTTTTGAAGATATATTTAGTCTAGGGAATTTTTTTGCAGATATATTTAGTCTAGGGATTTTTTTTGAAGATATATTTAGTCTAGGGTTTTTTTTTGAAGATATATTTAGTCTAGGAATTTTTTTTGAAGATATATTTAGTCTAGGGCTTTTTTTCAAGATATACTTAGTCTAGGACAATTTTTTTGAAGATATATTTAGTCTAGGGATTTTTTTTTGGAGCTATATTTAGTCTAGGGGAATTTTTTTGAAGATATATTTAGTCTAGGATTTTTTTTGAAGATATATTTAGTCTAGGGAAATTTTCTTGAAGATATATTTAGTCTAGGGGATTTTTTTGAATATATATTTAGTGTTAAATTTCACGAGGTCTTGGGTTTTTGGGAGTTTTAGGGTATATTGGGTTTCAAAGTCAAAATGCATCATTTCGAGCAACCTGCGCGCAGAAGGGTCGTGAGGAAAAGCGTTGAATGTTGTGATTTTCGTTGAATCAGTGGTCCACAGGTCCAACTGGCGTTCCAAAGTATTATTATTATTATAATGGGGGGGGAAGCAACTACGATTACTTGAAATAATAATAATTGGTGGAACCCCCCCCCCGTCCCGTAGACCGGAGGGGGGGGGGGCGGCCAATTATTATTACTTTTTTTAGTCTACGGATTTTTTTTCGGATATATATATTTAGTCTACGGTTTTTTCTTTATATATATATTTAGTCTACGGATTTTTTTTGAATATATATTTAGTCTACGGATTTTTTTTTGAAGATATATTTAGTCTACAGATTTTGTTTTGAATATATATTTAGTCTACGGATTTTGTTTTGAATCTATATTTAGTCTAGGGATTTTTTTTTGAAGATATATTTAGTCTAGGGGATTTTTTTGAAGATATATTTAGTCTAGGGGATTTTTTTTTGAAGATATATTTAGTCTAGGGATATTTTTTTTGAAGATATATTTAGTTTAGGTTTTTTTTAAGTATATATTTAATCTACGGCTTTTTTTGGTATATATATTTAGTCTACGGGCTTTTTTTGGAAAATATATTTAGTCTAGGGTTTCTTTAAAAAATATATTTAATCTACGGATTTTTTTTGTATAATTTAGTCTACGGATTTTTTTTTGAAGATATATTTAGTCTAGGGATTTTTTTCAAGATATACTTAGTCTAGGACAATTTTTTTGAAGATATATTTAGTCTAGGGATTTTTTTTTGGAGCTATATTTGATCTAGTGGATTTTTTTTTGAATATAGATTGGTTTTGGAACTTCAAAAGGCCCAGGGGTCCAGATTTGGCACCAAACCCTGTAAAAGAAGCACTTTTCAAAGGAAATAATCGATGTTTGAAGGTCCTTGAAATTTTTACTAGGGTTTTTTTTTGGAATATAGATTTAGTCTCGGATTTTTTTTGGGAAGATATACTTAGTCTAGGGGATTTTTTTTGAAGATATATCTAGTCTAGGGATTTTTTTTGGAAGATATATTTAGTCTAGGGGATTTTTTGTGAAGATATATTTAGTCTAAGATTTTTTTAAACAGATATATTTAGTCTAGGGATTTTTGTTTGAAGATAGATTTAGTCTACGGTTTTTTGTTTAATATATATTTAGTCTACGGATTTTTTTTGAATATATATTTAGTCTACGGTTTTTTTTGAAGATATATTTAGTCTACAGATTTTGTTTTGAATATATATTAAGTCTACGGGCTTTTTTTGGAAAATATATTTAGTCTAGTTTTTTTTTCAGTATATATTTAATCTACGGATTTTTTTGTATATATATTTAGTCTACGGATTTTTTTTTGAAGATATATTTAGTCTGGAGAATTTTTGTTTGAAGATATATGTAGTCTAGGGGATTTTTTTTGCAGATATATTTAGTCTAAAGTTTTTTTCTGAAGGTAGATTTAGTCTACCTTTTTTTTTAATATATCTATATATATATTTAGTCTACGGTTTTTTTTGAATATATTGTCTACGTTTTTTTTGAAAATATATTTAGTCTAGGGGATTTGTTTTTAGTATATATTTAATCTACGGATTTTTGTTGGTATATATATTTAGTCTACGAATTGTTTTTTGAAGATATATTTAGTCTAGGGGACTTTTTTATTGCATATATAGTTAGTCTAGGGGAAAAAAACCGGAAAGGACAGGAAAGCCTCACAAGACTAATTTCAATGCACGAAAAAGCTTCCGTAGACTAAATTAGTGGCGATCCCGGAAAGGACAAGAAAGGAATAAAAATAATAATATATAATTATAATCATAAGGCCCCCCCCCACCCCAGAAAAAAAAAGTAATAATAGTCTGCCACCCCACCCCCCCAGGAAAAAAAAAGTAATAATAGTCTGCCAAATCCAGGAACCAATTCCCTCGAACGCTTCCTGTCAAACAGTGTTGATCTCTCACTGGGCCTCTGGCTTTTCTTCAAGGCACGTCGTTTTCGACGATTGTTATTGTTCTTAGGAGGCTGATTAACTACAGGGCATGCCGGCACGGGCTGCGCACCAAAGACTGGAAAGGAATCCCTACACAATTCAGCACAACTGGGAGCAGTCTGGGGCAAAGAGGGACAGCAACTGTGATTTCACCTTCATCATCAAAAATGCTGTCTATCGGTGGTGGTTCCACGCGGGCATCCTCAAGTGCACTAGGAACTTCACTTGGAGGTTTAACAACTACCGACTCCGATACAGGCTTAGACTTAGCTTCCAGCTCCTTTTCTTCATCTACAAGTTTCTGAAACCTTTTGCAGCACTCTGCAGTGTGGTACCGAGTCTTATTTTTACAACCAGTGCAACCGGGAGTCTCCTTGAACTTTTTGATGCGGTCTAAGGTGATGTAAACATTGTAAACCGATCTGGGTTTAGGACCGGGTGTAGATGGGGATGCAATGCCACCGTCAGGTGAAAACGGAACATTCTGCAAGGCTATCTCGGGGAGTTTGATGTCATCAGGATCATCCCCCCTGACCAAAGCCTGATGCTTCCAAAAACAAACGGGGAAATATGCATCACCATCTGGAAGGTATAATTCAGGCTCGGGAACATCAGAAACACATGAAGCACCTCTGGTTCGAAACTCTTGATAATCTAATATCCGAACAACATATCTGTAACGAAAGCCAGAATCGATTCGCCAACCAAGAAACAAACCAGGAGCCATATTGGGTTCTAAGGTCCTTTTTGTTGGATGCTTCTTGCGATAATACACAAGTTGACCAAAACACAAACGCTTACCGTCAAACTTTTCACGTGTAAGAGCTTCCCATTGGGTCTTCTCGGGATCCGCAATAGAAGGTCTATCAAAAGTCATGGAAAGACATGCGTATGTCCTGGATTCTCCTGGATGTGCCCTGCCCCCAGTACCAGTCGGATCCTTTCGGCAAGGTCAGTACCCTGTGAGTAAGACTGTTGAAAGCATC